GTGCACGTGTGCACATGCGCGTGCATGCACCTGTACGCGTGCGCCAGCGCTTGCGCGCGCGCGCGCGTTCACAGACAAGCCCTGCGGGCCCTGCGGGCCTTGCGTGTCGAGTACGTTGGGGAAAAGGGACAATCTGAGGTTTTCCATGATGCGAGCGGCAGCTTTGTCCCTGGTGCTGCCGCTTTGTGCTGGCCAGCATGCCGTGATTCAGGCAGATGGCAGCGTTACCTCGGCTGAAGCCCGGCTCGGCTGGGAAGGGATGCTCCCGGATGCTTCCATGTGTAGCCCTCTTTCAAAGTCGCGCGCCCCTATGCAGCATGCAAGGCCTTTTCGATCGCTGGCCAAGTGAAGGAACCGGCGGAACGAGTTTTGTTGAACGGGCCGTTGAACGGGCCAAATGGACCTGGCCTTAGCAATCTTTGGATGTGGCTCAAAACTAAGGAGCCAAAGACCTCCAGATTTCGTGTTTTTCTACAAGCTGAGGCTTGTGGTTATGTTTTTGTTTACACATACTGGCTGCGCAAAAGCAAAGCGACCACGCACCGTTGAAGGTATGTGGCTCATCTCACGTGAGCAGCGCATGGTAGGCAGTTCTACTACTTGGCTTCACGGGGTTGTACTCAACAGCCAATGTGTTTTGTGCTCGCTGGTGAGGCAATGGAAGATATCAGGTTCTTTCGGTCTAGCCATTGCGAAACGCGCCCGTCGGACTCCCCATGAACTGTTTGAGGGATCTCAGAATTTCTTCGGCGGTTTCCCTGGAAACCCACTAGAGGGTATAGTTTCGAGGATGTCACTTTACGCAAGCAGACTAGTCCATCCGGCAAACTCCGGGAGATCTGAGCCTCAGGTTACGCATGATGCCAGCTTGGCAGCCTCCAAAGGACCGGGAAGAGAGTTTAGAGGCTTGACGGCTCGCGACTCGAAAAGGCTTATTGGAAGTTTGAGAGCATTGCACATCATGGCTGTGGGTCAAAACCAAGGGTACGATTTTGGGGTAGGTGCACCACCCATCTTAGAACCTATTTTAGTGGGGATTGGGATGTTCACTGGGGGTACGATTTGGATCTTGACCCATGGCCATATTACAGCCACGAAATAAGGGGTGCCCTCCAAAAAACGAGCCGCCCACAGGGCTTTTTCCCTCCTTGAGCTGCACGGGTGCATTTGTGCGCCCTGGTGCCCTGTTTGTATGTGTGCCGATGAGCTGGTAGGAAGACACCTAGTCCGATCTTCCAAGCGATACAACGAGGAGAGTGAAGAGGCGCAGTGGGAGAAAGAAACGCGTATGACTATTGCGGACATTTGTCTCCAGGATAAGTCGATGGTCATGTGGCCATGGGTCAGAATCCAAATCGTACCCCCAGTACACATCCCAATCCCCACTAAAATAGACTAAAATAGGTGGTGCACCTACCCCAAAATGGTACCATTGGTTTTGACCCACGGCCATGTAACATGTATTTAAGGACTTGAATAGCTATCATCGACATATATTCTACCCCTTCAGGCCCCACCCTCTTTGCCTTATTTCAGCAGACAGGGTGCACCAGACCCTCTGTCAAGTGCCATGTTAGTCGGAGGGTAGGTAAGTTGTAGGCAAGGGCATGCCCGCACATGAAAGTCGCGGAAGCCATTTTTCACAGCTGACTCTTTCTGTGGAGTGTTTGTGCAAGTTCTCTGGACAAGTTTCTCTGAAGTTGTTTGCGGTTGAGCAAAAGACAATTTAAGGGTTTGGGGTGTTTGAAATGATTAAACTCTTGCTTTGCACCGACATTGCCTTGCAACATTCTAAGACAGCGTTCCAAGCAGCATGTAGACATGCTCTTGACCCCGGCAAGTCACCGTGCCCAACAGGTCCTAAATAATCCAATGGAGCATGCGCATGAATACACACCTGCGCTGGTATCCATCGAATTTGTTCAGGCCAGCATTCCCGTGTGTGTTAAAGTAGGACCTTAGGCCTTAGGCGGAACCAAACAGGGCGGAACCCAAAAGGGTGGTTTCTTGTTTGGTTTCTGTCTAAAGAACCCCCCAAAAGGATCTCAAAAAAGACAGCCCCATATTGGTTTGGAATACTGTCCATGCCTCACGAATTGGTTCCCACGGTCTCTGAATCGATAGTGTCATTGGTGGTCTACTGGTTCGGGGAATGCATGTTTTGACTGTTCAGAATATGAAGCCGGGTGTTGGCTGAATAGAGTCACAGCCAGAGACAAAAAAAAGTCGAAATGTTCGGAGGTGTTCAGCGCCAACGACACAGACTACGTGGCTTCGGAATCAGGAATGAAATTGGCGGTCTACTCAAAGAACAGACATGACGCTTGTTCAGCAGCTTTTTTTTTTCACAGGAATCATGGAAGTTTGGGCCCGCAAGATGATAGTCGTCTATTCGAACTCTCCGATCGTACCTTGGAAAGAGGGTACTTGGCAAATGTGTTGAGTCGGCGATATGACGTAACAATTACGAGACAGAGACATGTGGGTTGATCAACCATCT